GATTTTTCGTTCAAAAGAAACATTTGCGTTATAATTGTCAAACTTCGTTATACAATTTTAAGTTTAATCAATTAATTGTTCTCACAAAGTATATGTGTTAGATCACAAGTAAATAGGTGCTAACTGTAAGAAGATCAGTTTTTCTTTGTTTACTATGTTATAAGTTTTATTTTGTTCTCTCTCTTGTAAATCAATAAAGATCTTCCAATAAATAACTTACTTAAGTCCATGAGTGTATGTATTTTATTAATATTTACATAAGTAGATGTCTCAGTTACCTGGAGCAGGAAGGGCAGGGCGCGCGAGCCTAGTTTGGCCACCAGGCGCTGCTGGGTGCGGGACCCCGGCCCGGGCTGAGGCAGGGGTTGGGTGGCCAGGACCAGCTCGCGGAAGAACCGCAGTCCCATCACCTCGTCCCTCTCCCGTCCGTAGCGGAACGTGGCCACCAGCTGGGCCACGGCGTGGCGTCCCCGGACCTCCTCAGTCACCACAGCTACTCCCTCTGGAAATCCCGGCAGAGATATGTCGATGTAGGGAACATTCACTCTGTTGGTACGGCTGGCCACCGTGATAGAAATCCTTACAGACACTGTCTGGGAGGTGGTTTTTCCAAGTACCAAATCCGAACACCAGTATGGATACCGTTCTTTGGCTAATGAGCAGGATAGAAGCGAAGGCCATGCTTTACATGCAGGCTTATGGACAGAAAGGATTGAGAGGCCATTTGCTTCTTGGATGATGGTGCTGCTGGCCACCGGGATAGAAATCCTTACAGACACTGTCTGGGAGGTGGTTTTCCAAGTACCAAATCCGAACACCAGTTTGGATACCGTTCTTTGGCTAATGAGCAGGATAGAAGCGAAGGCCATGCTTTACATGCAGGCTTATGGACAGAAAGGATTGAGAGGCCATTTGCTTCTTGGATGTTGGTGCTGCTGGCCACCGGGATAGAAAGCCACACAGACACGTTGTCTGGGAGGTGGTTTTTCCGAGTACCAAATCCGAACACCAGTTTGGATACCGTTCTTTGGCTAATGAGCAGGATAGGATCGAAGGCCATGCTTTACATGCAAGCTTATGAACCAAAAGGTCTGAGAGGCCATTGACTTCTAGGATGTTGGGTGCGGCTGGCCACCGGGATAGAAATCCTTCTAGACACGTTGTCTGGGAGGTGTATTTTTCCAAGTACCAAATCCGAACACCAGTTTGGATACCGTTATTTGGCTAATGAGCAGGCTAGCATCGAAGGGCATGCTTTACATGCAGGCTTATGGACAGAAAGGTCTGAGAGGCCATTGGCTTCTAGGATGTTGGTGCTGCTGGCCACCGGAATATAAATCCTTCTAGACACGTTGTCTGGGAGGTGGTTTTTTCCAAGTTTCAAATCCGAACACCAGTTTGGATACTGTTCTTTGGCTAATGAGCAGGAGCAGCGAAGGGCATGATTTACATGCAGGCTTATGAACCAAAAGGTCTGAGAGGCCATTTGCTTCTAGAATGTTGGTGATGCTGCTCTGGTGAACCAATCTCACAGTTACTGTTAGCTTTGAAGATAATTCGAAGGTATTATTTCCTGATTTAAACATTTATTGATAAAGTGACACGTAACGTTTTCAGATGGAATTGTGGCCTGTATCTTGGTGAACTAAGGATGTGGTGTATCTCCAATTTTCATATTGCGGTTATGCTCTTCTATCCTTAAACATAATGCCTGTTTCAGCTGTGGAAGAGATGTGGTGTAAGAATGATATTTTGTTGGTGTATATTGCATTGCTCGAGAGTTGTCTTGTTCTTGTTCCAAAATCACTTTATTAGGTACCGCTCAAAAAGAGAAACCTAGCTTATGATATTTACAACAATGAATAATATGTGAAGGTTATTCACATATTAAACAAAATGTTAACACTGGATTCGATCCCGTTTCATGGCTGTCTGGAATCGAGGGTGTTACCCACTCGTCCACCGACTCTTTGATAATATTGTCAAGAAGCTCCATCCAGATGGGACACCTGTCAATCATCCCTGGAACCCATGGGGGATCACAGGTGTGAGCGGTTCTCGGAATCTTATCTGCAAATAAGGAAAACGGGACGGTGGCTGACGCCGCTCATCATTATTATCTTTACCTTGGGATAAGTTGTTTTATTATCTGATTCTCTCTCTCCCTATAAATACCTCTTGTAAATAATTTTATTGGAGAACTAGAAGGTAAATACTCTTTATAATAAATTAATTATTCCCAAATTTACCCTTGCTTTATTTATCTCCGCGACATATTTATAGACTTCATTGATAGATTTCCAAGTCTATCAATTTTATTGAAATTCTTCACTAACCTCGCTGCTACCTAAAGTTTAACCACAAATATATTGGGCTGCTCTGATGTAAGTAACTGATGTTTGAGGTAATGATTGAAGGGAAGTGTGTTTTATTGAGAATAGAAGTGAACCTACCGACAGGATCTACCTGGGTGATGTGGTCCACGATCTGCCGGTTTCTGACGTAGATCAGGACCTGGACCACACACATGTCGTCATGATAACGAGTGGTTCTATGGCTTCAAGGATTTCTTTCTTTGCTCGAGAGTACACTCGAACAATACATACCAAGCAATACACATTTGTTAATTAATTAAGGCAGCAGGGTTCTGGGGATGTGAGTTTCTCTTCATTTTTATTGCAATCTCAATCTTTCGGTCATTATCACACTACTACAGGAGTATAAAAATGAACAATAATGAAACACCGTTAAAGGAATATTGCCACGTGGAAAATTAGGGAAGATCAACTTCTGGATGAGACAGCAATTTATTTCAGGCAAGAACAAACTATAATGTATAAACAAAAGATAAGCAAAATAGGGAAGTGTACAGAATATAGCAAAATATGAACATAAAAAATAATACTCTGCTAATAAAATAATAAATACTTTGTTACAATATGGTTTTACGGGCTACTAGCCAAAGTGTATGTTTTTCGAGCCCAAAAACCCCGTTAGATATAAAGTTGTTTAATTATTGTTCATTTTTGTACTCCTGTTGAAGGGTGATAATACCAGAAATCTTGAGATTGCAATAAAAATGAAAAGAAACACATCTCCAGAAACCTGTTGTCTTATCTAATTTACATACCGGTGTTCACATCTATTTCATTAATATAAAATGAAAGGATTAAACGCACGAATGTTTTTTTTTATATACAATACAACATTCTACTGTCCTTACTGCGATGAAAAAATATATTGAGAGGGCTTGGTTCATCAGTGGTGAACCCTACCTGCGGTTTCACCAATTTAATCCACCAGACCGTTTCTCAGAGCTCTAATACTGTATTGGACGATTCTGCTTATATATGCAGCACTAAAGGGTGGAATCTCAGAAATGGTTTTCAAGAAAACTATGGACATAAGCTTATAGGACAGTAGAATTACATTTAAATATTTGCATCGAGCAATGCTCTTCCGCAAACAATTTCATTAATACACATTTGTATTCTAATGTACTTCGGAATTTAAAGATACACCAACTTGGTGAAAAATATTAGTTATAGTTGTCGGGATTGTAGGAATCATAGCGGTCCTTCCTAACAGGAAGGATGTAGTCTAGAAAGGGCCAAGAACTCTCGGGAGAAGACCAACTTCGGAATGAGACAGCAATTTATTTCAGGCAAGAACAAACTAAGAATGATAAACAAAAGATAAGAGGGAAGTTTTACAGAGTATCAAAGTATAAATATTAAAAATGATACTCTGTTAATAAAATAATAAATACTTTGCGATAATATTTATTTAGACCTACAGTAAACCTCCCGTCTTATGCAGCCACTCTGAGAACCAAGGTAAACTGGTTGGGTATCATCACAGGTTGTCTATTCACCTCAGGTATATTTTCTGAGTGACTATAGGGCTTTACTTTCCGCAAAAAAATAGGAGTTTTACAGAAAAACAAGATTTTCATTTTATTAAATAAGCTTCTAGAATATTGAGTAAAATCAATCATTCCTCCAGGGAAAAGTGTCTTTTCGAAAACATATTTTTTTCTAGTGGCCTATATTTATTCATTTGTTTGTGCTCTTATCAGAGATATATATTTTAAAAATATTTTGTCTCAATTTGTATAATAGTTAATATGTGTAAAAAATAATATGTTTATATCTATAGAACTTCATAAAAATATGTAAAATAGTATATCCGATTATATTTAACTCGTGTTCTATTGGCGTATCATTATACCATGTTTTCTCCAGTAGAAGGGCGTCCGTACCCGAAAGCTAGAGAACAATAAAAATGTTTTCGAAAAGACACTTTTCCCTGGAGGAATGATTGATTTTACTCAATATATATGCAAGGGATTATTTTATAGAACTTCTAGAATATATTTAAATAGTCGAGTAAAACAGCGCTACACAAATGGGAGATAAATATATACAATAGAGGCCACCTTGGATCCTGCTGCAACAGCATTCACGGATACAGATTGTCCTGTTTGCTCTTCCTTGACAGAAGAGAGAAATGTTTCATTAAAATCTCTCTACTTTGGAAAAGTAAACTGTATGCCTGCGTTAGCGGAGCTGTCGACAATCAAGTAAGTAAGAAATTTAAATTATTTTTAACGCGTATGGTTATTTTTAAAAATAAATCAATTATCTACTACCCTTACTGCAATGATAAAATAATGGGAGGGCCTGACTCATCAGTGGTGAACCCTCCCAGCGGTTTTGTAAGTTTAATCTACCATACCGCCGTAATTTTGCATTTTTTTCGGTTTTCCTTTTATACTGATACTGATGCTAGACTCTCGGAAAAGGTATTTTAGATGAACTATAGACATAAGCTATGAGGACAGTAGAAATATATATAATAATAAATATATAATATGCTTCGAGAATTTCTCTTATGCAAATTGAAAGTAAAAGTATTTTTAGAACACAATATTTATATGATGCATTAGCGCCCCATCTGTTATAAGTATTGTTCAGACAGAAGGCTACGAACCAGGACAATGTATCACCAACGACAGGATTCGAACCTGCGGGAAGATCCCAGTGAATTTGTCATCCATCGCTTTAACCACTCGGCCACACGAGAGTAAATAGATCTAAACCTCCCATGAGAGACCAAGCCTAGGGATACTCTTGGTCCATCTAAATGATATTTTTACTGTCACTTTGCTCTGGAGTAAAAGTTTGCCTCCCTATAAATCATAAGATTATTTACGTGGAACTATTTCCCTCTACATTTTCCACAGATATTAACTTTGAAAAAAAAAAGAGCTCTTAGTTCACGTTTCGTCCAAAAATCTTGAAACTGGAATTTATCTGTAAGGTTCCCCCCGAGGAGAATGACAGCGAGACATGGATAATTAAACAAATCACAAGTGTATATAACTTGTATCTCTTGAAGATGGTCCCTGATTGAAGACCGAATTAGACCAAGTCTGTGGATTCTACCGCTGATCTAAAGGATCGATCAAGGTAGGTTTTATATATCGAATGGAACAAAGCGTCAATCCAACCATTCAGTAAACATGTTCTTGGTGTAAATGAAGACAACAACGACACCATTTTGTCTAATGTCGTTGGTTGAAATGGTTAAACTCTCGTGAAAGGAACACGACTTCTTGGATGCCTCTCTACTCAGTGATGCCAACACAAGCTCTGTGTTCTCTGTAGTGTTTTCTTACATTCCTGGTTAGAGTTTCATAGGCTTGTTTTAAGACGCTCTAAAAACTCACTCATCTTATATTGGCTGTATTTAGGAAGTTATCAGAAGGATCAATCAAGGTAGGTTTTATATATCGAATGGAACAAAGCGTCAATCCAACCATTCAGGAAATATGTTCTTGGTGTCGTTGTTGTCTTTATTTTGTTTACTGTGTCATTGGTTGAAATGGTTAAACTCTCGTGAAAGGAACACGACTTCTTGGATGCCTCTCTACTCAGTGATGCCAACACAAGCTCTGTGTTCTCTGTAGTGTTTTCTTACATTCCTGTGTAGGGTTTCATAGGCTTGTTTTAAGATGCTCTAAAAACTCACTCTTCTTATATTGGCTGTATTTAGGAAGTTATCTGAAGGATCGATCAAGGTAGGTTTTATATATCGAATGGAACAAAGCGTCAATCCAACCATTCAGGAAATATGTTCTTGGTGTCGTTGTTGCCTTTATTTTGTTAAATGTCGTTGGTTGAAATGGTTAAACTTCGTGAATGGAATGCGACTTCCATTAGAAGAATGTCCCTCTCCTCAGTGCTGCCAACACAAGCTCTGTGTTCCCTAGAGTAGCCAGTGCTTGCTTACATTCCTGTGTAGAGTTTAATAAGCTTGTTGATTTAAAACCCCCTAAAATCTCACTCTACTTATATGTTTGTATTTAGGAATCGTAAAGATTGAGGCTGCCTGGTTGGCATTTATATTTATACACATACGCCCTTGGAACCTTAGAATGATTTTTAACGCCTTGCTAAATGTTTTAATTTTTGTTCGCTCCTGACGAGGACAAAAGATTTTTGTCGAACGTCGAGATAATAAAAAGATTTACTGGCCGAAGTATCTTTATTTTCAAGAAACAAGAAATGTATTTAGGAAGTTACTTTATAATTCGCCGTGATACGCTCGGACCTCGCCAGTTGCAAGAGGCAATTTCTATTCAGCAATATTGTCATGCAGACCTCTAAGGTAACATATGGAAAAACGAGTAGAATATCAAAACCTATTGATTAACCTGCAGTTTTCTTTTTGGTTGAATATGATGGCGTCTTGTTTGAAAATTGGTTTACTTTGTGAAGATACAAAGGTTTTTCATTCACCCATATATACAACAACAACAAAAAGCTTTATTAAGACCTTTTAGTCTTATACAGATTCACCAAGCAGGAATGTAGGATACATGCAGGAAAAACTGTAATAGTACCTTAATGGTAATATGATATTTATATACAGGAAAAATTATATAAAGACAATCTCACACACACACAAAGCCTTTATTAGGGACTTGCCCCATTCAGATTCTCCCAATTGGGTAAAGTAATAATCATCTTGTGTTATTTACATAGAAATTGAACTGGCTTTACCCTTCGTCTCAAAGTCATTCACTTGTTGACTGGTTCTTACATAATGATGATCTAAAAATTTATAGGAAGCTATTGCCTTAGATTTGTTTGCTGATATTTTCGAAAGCAATACGTAGGGTGAAATGTTGGTACATTTAATTTGTTGATATAGGGCCTTCCTCTCTGCATCAAGGGCTGTGCAATTAAGCAGGTAATGGGGGAGTTCTTCAGTAATTTCCTTGTCACGCATTAAGTTTTTGGCCTCAAACGTCAGAACGTGGTTTTATATAAAGACAAACAAGCTAATAGATACTAGTCTGATTTACCCATATATACATATTTACAAGGGCAACATCACCAGCAATACACCTGCATTTTGTTCCAGGTTATTCTCAGTATCTAAGGACAGCGCTCAGCTACCAAGTCGAATCTCTAAAAAAATAAATAAATAATGTTTCTGAATTCATACCATGCTCATATGCCGAAAGATTGATGAATTTAAACGTGATTTTATCACTTTACAGTTTATGTTGTATTTACAGTCGAATTTGCATAACTCGAAGCCTAAGGAACCAAAAAAAATGAATTAAAAACGGAAATTCTATTTATTGTAAATTGTCTAGGGACCAAGATATAAATATTCGAATTAAATACGTTAGAATTATCCAATTTCTACTGTATATAGAAATAAATTTAAGGGTTATAAGAAAAAAAGAAACTGAATTTCTTAATAAAAGAGAAGATAAAAGTCAAAACATGTTATAAAACTGTTATATGTATGTTCCATATGTAAATACCTGTTTTCTTTTCTCTCTCCACTTCTCCCATCTATATTTCAAAAAAAAAAATTTTTTTTTTCTCCAAATCGATATTCTTATTTTCCATAGGATTATTCAAATAATAATTTGTATATATTTACCATGTGTATATAATCTTTCTCCATTTTTACCCCTTTGTATATTTCCCACTTTCATGGGTTTCTCCGTCTTGTAACCCCAAGGAGAATCCTCTGTAAGACCTGTGTGTAATAAAGGTTTGTGTGTGTATATATATATAAAACTGACTCTCTTCTTATATCTTTTATCATGACAATATTTGGTTTCATTTTCTGTATGGCGAATCATTACAAGTTGGAATACCTTAATAAAGCTCTTGGTGTTGTTGTTAATAAAAAGCAGATACTTTATTTTTTCGAAAACAACTTTAGTATCCTCAAAATTACTCTCCATTAACATTAATGTACTTGTTAAAAAAATTAGTACAAGTGTGAAATTGTAATGAGATAAGGTGCATAAATTAAGAAAAAAGGGCATCTCCTTATCGTGCAATTGAAAAATTAATCTCCATTAACACTAATGTACTTGTGAAAAAAAATTAGTACAAGTGTGAAATTTTAATGAGATAAGGTGGATAAATTAAGAAAAAAGGCATCTCCTTATCGTGCAATTGAAAGTTGCTGATGGCTTGCGCCATTTGCATTTTTCAGGATGCTTGATTGACTAGTTTTTGGGTCGTTGAGGTAGAGCTTGCTGACGAGGGCCAATAGCCCGAAACGCGTCCGTGGTTAGCTTTTTTATTATTATTATTAATCAAGAATGGGTATTTGGCCAATTCTGGAATAATTAAAAATATCAACGAATAGTTGATATTTATTTCGCTACAAGCCATCAGAAACTTTCAGTTGCACGATAAGGAAATGCCTTTTTTTTTTCTTAATATATATAAAAACTCTCTTCTCATACCCTTAATTATCAAAATATTTGGTTTCATTTTTCTTTTTTTTTTGTACGGCTGAATACCTTAATAAAAAGCTTTTGTTGTTAATAAAAATCAGCTACTTTATTTTTTCGAACACAATTTTAGTATCCTCAACTCTCCGTTAACACTACTAATGTACTTGTTCTAATGTTCATTCCAATGTTGTGAAAGCGCCTTTTAAATTCAACCATTTTGCTACCTGCTGGTCCTGTCATGGCATTGTTCTCTACCCCATCAACATTAGCACAGAGCTTTCTTTACTTCCCTTCTAATCCTGGTGAACATGGAAAAGTCCGAGACAGCTCAATATGGCGGATAGGGTCAAATTATTCGGGATTTACCGCGACCTTTTATTCTCATTTAAAATATCAGGTACAAACTTCTTTGCCACTCTTCGCATGCTAAAATCAACGGTCAAAATGTACCGAATTGTACCTCAATACAACCTAGATAAATATTTAGAGTTCGGCGTTTGTCCTTCTACAAGAGAAAATTTGACTTTTTATTTCTCCTCAAGGACAAAAATGCTCGAAAAAGTTCTGCTAAATAATAATAATAAAAAATCTTACATAAAAACTTTTTCGCCTCACGATTTCGTACACGATTTGCTCTCCAGGCAATTATATAACCAATGATAAATTGTAACATGCTTTGTATTCTATAATACAATATAATGCGGCTTATGATTGTAGAACGACATTTGAAAATTATCCCGCATGTGTCTCTTTTAAACGAAAAATCGAAATTTATTTTAAGGGGAGAAATAACGATTATTTCTAACCTTAGGGATGAAGTATAAAAGGATGAATTTACGTTTATCATTACTCTTCACAATTCATCCTTTCATACTTCATCCCTAAGGTTAGAAATAATCGTTATTTCTCATTAAAATAAATTTCGATTTTTTTGTTCAAAAGAAACACATGCGGGATCATTTTCAAATGTCGTTCTACAATGCTTTGTATTTATTTATGTAAAATATTTAGTTATCATTTGATTTTTTTTTATAGTTAGGCAGTCGTCAACACTGTACTTTCTTTCTCTAATTTGCATAAGATATTTTTTGTTTTATATATTATGGTTAATACCATGTTGTAATTTAATTAAATATTAAAACACAAAGTATTGTTACTATCCCTTATTTCTATATAGGAAACGTTACATAAATAAGTATTGAAAATAGAGCAATCCATATTTAATTCATTAGATAATAAAAAGGCATATATTGGATTTAATAAATTATTGGCAAAATAAATATTTTATTAAATCCAATATAT